CACACATACTCCAATGCAGGCTTAGATAATCGGTGTAACCAAACAAGTGCGTGCATAGCACTAGCCAGGCTTTGACGGGCCAGGCTTGGAAAACCAAGGCCGACTACGATAGCCCAGGCAACCAAACTGAGTGTGTTTGGTTAGGAGGCTTCTTACCTAGGTAAGAGGGGTAAGCCTAGGTGGCTTTGGTTAGACATATGCAATGCAACCTGTGGTTGTTTTGTTGGCCGTTTTATTGTAGTTGGTTGGAACAAGAGGTGCGCAACTAGTCGGAAGGGAGTGAGGATGGCCGGTCAGCGGCACCGTGCGAGGACGACCGGCGTGCACCCGACGCCAGCTCGCTCGCCCAACCGTGCACACGTGGTTGGGATTTCCACGTTGCTGTGCGCACGAAGAGAGAAAGGAATAAGCGCTTCTATTTCTCGCTCGATTAGGGGAATCAGGATGGATAGGTCCGTTCCACTGCCGGTATTTTTGTTTCTCCCGTGATTAAAGGATTTCCCCTCCGGTAACTAGGAGAATGCTGAGGAAGTATTTTTGTTTTTCTAGATTTTTTAATTTATTAAGTAATTCGTAAAATCTGAAAATTCAACGGCTCATATTCATCTGAGATACCTAGTAGGTAAAGGGTGTAGTGTACCTTAGCATGCCCTACTTTTTATTTATATAAACAATTTTTGAAAATTCATAATCTACGAATGTTTTTTTTTCAGAGTCTTACGTCAAACATGGGGACAAAAAAAAGGCAGGTTGTACTGCTAAAGAGAGGTAAAATGTTTTACAGGAGCGACACACAAGACAAGACAGTATGTACAGCGATTGCACCGTATACAATAAAAGTATTCCGAGCTAGCTACAGTTAGCAACGTCTATATAGCCGCACGCGCGTAAGCCACATGCCACCAAAGCAAAGGAGCCGGCAGAGAAGTGCATCCAGCTGATAACAAGGAGTGAGTCACCAATAATACCCAGCTATCTTCTAGATTAGATTAAGTTCCTTCGTCCTATCCAAAGGCCAACCCATTGCTCGTCAATGTCGTAAACAATTATTGGCTGATCATACAACGATTCAGTAGCGCTATATGTTGAAGAACGACTTGTCCGGACCAGAATAGACTCTGCATAATGATCTCAAGTAAAATTATTATGTAAAGTTTGTCAATAAGCATTTGTTCGGGGACACCATGGAACATTTCACTTTCAACTCCACCATTTTTTCTCGAACAGAGTGTGTGGAGCTGAAACCGTTTGGCTAAAAAACATGGAGCGGGGCTGAAAAACGTAGAGCGGAGCAGTCCCAAACACCCCCTAAAGGTACTGTAGAATGCCGATTAGTTGATATTAATATTAACACCTACGCTTCTGTATTTTATCTTACTATTACTAATTGAAAGTTTTAACTAATCGTGGCTCCACTCGTTAATTCTCACAAGACGTATTATAAAAAGACAAATCATAGAAATTATTACAAAAATATAAAAAGATTTGTTCATCAGTTATGTAGGCTTTGATCACCATTAACGATAAGAGACACGGGATCTATTTTGTTTTCTAAAAAAACACTCACCTTTGCCATTATAAAAACAACATAAGGTACCCATAAATCTACCTCAAAGACGTATCTCTAATCATACATTACATGGACGTATCAATTCTACGTTATTGAATATGGTGTCGCCTTTGTACACAATTGGCATAGTGTCATTATCAAGGTTGTAGCCTTCTTTGTCGATCATGCTCGTCTTCCCTCCTTGTTTGTCCATGGCCCAATGGTAGGGAAAAAGCACTCCCTTGCTGGCATCCAATCATCTATGATGTACTGCATGATATAATTTGCCCTCATCCCTATGCTGCCTAGATCAATATACTTCAATGGAATTGACCCGATGTTGGCACAACGATTGGATTTAGTTGCACCTCTGCATAGGAGGACTCGAGATCCATGGGCGATTGTTTTATGTCCGAACCATCGACCAGTGCGTGCATTCTCTGTTTCTCTTCCTTTATCCTTTACTAATCAGGGTAGAGGTGGATAATAGAGAAACAACAATAAGCTTATAAGTTCCAAGCTACTCTTTTCATAATGGTAGTGGTCGGTGATAATTCATATTAATATAGTACTCCGTAATTTCTAAACCTTAAGAATTGACCTTTAGTTTTTTTTTTCCAAATACCATTTAGGATCAGTTAGATTTAATTTGCTCCCTCCGTCATATATAAGTATTAAAATATTCAATATTTATATCAAACTAGCAAATATGTCCGTACGTTGCAACGAGACTACAATTTATTATGCTATCTGTAGGGACAAACATGGCTGCACAACTAAACCACGTATAGACAAAAACAGTCATGGTAAGACAGCTTCAAATGGCAACGCGGCGGCCATAATATATAGCACACTCGTGCAGTGTCACCGGCCACGCTAGACAGCCTGGACTGACAGCACACGGTGGCTCCACCATGCAAACCTAGACCACAAAGGCGTTCATGCGGGCTCAACTCAATCCAGGTGAGACTCGCGTGGTCTTTCATATCTTTCGGCACCACACGACCAAGGCACCAATCACATAACTGCAGTGACATTCCCGTCTTATAGCCTGTTCGGTTGGTATTAAAGACGGTTGATAAGCCGACTGAAACTGATTTGTTGTGAGAGAAAAATATTGTAGATTCTAGCTGATAAACCGGCTAATAAGTTCAAGCGAACATGCTTTAGTTCCTCTCTCCTTCCACGGCTGTTCTAGATCCTATCGCTAGTGAAGCTTCAGTGCAGCCATGGCCGTCGCTCCCTTCCTGTAAGTCTCTCTGTCAGCTATTGACGCGTGCAGCTCAGGTTCCTGCAACACAAGGGATGTTTTTTTTTTCCTTTTTTTATTTTCTTTTTCGGTTCCTTGAAGATCTTGTACATTGTACTCCTCCTTTTTCAACTCGTTCATCCACTCCAGTGGAACATTCTCTCTTCTCTCCTTCATCCGGCATCCCGGTGGAGCTTTTATCCCCACTGAAGCACGCGATGTGACAGCGGCGGGCAAGGCAGATCCAGTGAGAAACATCAGCCTGTTTGGAAGGCCGTATCGTATCGTGAATTATTTACTGTTGGTTGGTTTAGTGTGAGAGAAAAACACTGTTCCCGACTGAAAATTTACGATCGTTTACGAGCAAACGAACGGGCCAATGGTGGAGGATACGTACGTTCTCAGTTGTGCGCACTAATTTAGACTCGGGCAAGTCCATGCAAGATCTAGGCACAAGTTTTCTCTTGACCCGAGGGGATGCGGCGCTTCTTCAATTCAGGCTCCAACATTTCAGGCTCCAACATCCAGCCTCTCTTCAGGCTTCGTCGAATCCACAGAGGAGGCAGGCACGCCGAAGCCTTAGATTGAAGCACACAGGATTTTTTATGTTTATTTATAAACTGGCACCCGACTCAAGGATAGAACTTTGTGTCCGGATAGAAGTCACCGACAAACGCTGCACACGATAGAGACGGATAAAAGCGGAGGTATTTTGGCAATAAAAAAGGCGTATCTTGTGAATGCTCGGGTATTTCTGGCACATCTGGCACCCGAGTGCCAGATTCCCTAAAAATACTCGATTGCAACAAACACACATAATAAAGTGTCAAATCTCAGCCAAACACTCGATTCCTATAACTACTCGATCCAGCTCTAACGATGCAAATAAAACTTACAAAAATAATACAAAAATATTAAACAAATAAAACAAAAAAATTAGCCAGATTATTTCTATGTAAGCTAAATTGGAAGATTTTCAAAGATGGACCAAATAAAACATAAAAAATAAAAAAATCAAATAAATGATCAGATAAATATTCGAGTAATTCTGACTATTTCCATTTACAAATAATTAATTTATATCAATTGAACACAAGTATAACAAGATGTAATATGTAACTATTACAGCCTGTTCGGTTGACTGGTTTGTTTCGTTGCTGGTTCGTGAAGAAATACTGTTGACTGATTTGTGTGAAAGAAAAATACTATTCCAACTAAAAATTTACGATAGTTTACGACAAGCCACGGCGGGCCCAGCTGCTGCTGTTTTTACGGAAGCCAAGGCAAGGGGCAAGGTAAGTGGCGTGTGGGCCCGGATGACGAGAGCCATGGGACTCAGGGCATGGTTCGCGTGGGGCTGCTGGACTCTCGCAGGCGCAGGCATCAGTGGAAGCATGCCCAATTAATAGCTGGGGCCCACAAAATTGCAAAATAATTAAAAAAAAGAAAATAACATGCATGCAGAGGTACAGAGAGAGCACCAGCGTGTGGATCGGATGGTGTCAAAATCGAGTGTCGGAGGCCAGAGAAACACTTGAGCACGGCTTTTTCTAAAAAAATTTGGAAGAAACTCGGACATAAAAACGGAAAAACGTAAACGGTAACTGAGTCGATTTCTTAGTTGGACGAAAGATTTTGTGTGTCAGAAATTTTGCCTCTTTATTATTAGATATAGATATAGATATAGATTATAAGGTATTCTATTTCTATATGGATTAACTCTTCCAAAGCACCAATCACATACATACTATTAGTGTTTACCATCAAGTTCAAAATATGGTAAACTCAAGATCTCTCTATATAGTCAAACAAAAGTTACATACGTCGTTTGTTCTACCCATAATCTATGTTAGAATCCCTAGAATACTTTGAATTTGAGGGAATAGATTTCAACAGCGCTTCCCTTGAAATCTATCACTTCTATGGTTTCCAGCTCATGGGGGATTCCTATACATGCCGGCCACTTCCTATCTAGCTTGCTAGACGACAAGGAAACAAACAATAAACCGTTTAGATGCTGGATATTATTTATTTTTTTGCAAAAAAAAAAAAGCAAAGACACGGTCACACGAAGGTGAGCTCTGGAAAGGAAAAGGAAAACGAAGAAGAGCTCTGGTTAACTGGTTTACTATAAAAGCCTAGCCAAGCTCGTGAGAACAACACATCGTGCTTCATCGGTTAAGACCACCTTGCGAAGCACCCATGGCTTCTGCCAAAGAAAATGTTCCTCTGGCGCCGCTCCAACTGCTGCTACGACAAACCAGCAGCCCGCGTCCTCCGCCACCGACACCGCTGCGGCCCAAGATGGCCAACGGCGCCACCGAGCCGCCGGTAAGCGGCGTCGTCAAGTGCACCTGTTTCCGCCTGCCCAGCCGCACCAAGAAGCCTCACCCGCCGCATCCGGTGCCGAAGCTACGCAGCGCCAGCAGCAGGAGCGCAGTGGCTCCGGACGTGTCGGCGGCGACGGCGTCCCAGTCCCAGCGGGTCACCTTCCGGGCGTCGGCGCCCCTCTCCACGAGGTGGCCGTGGTCACCGTCAGCCGCCTCTGCCAGTGCCGCCGGCGCCACCGCCACCCCAGCTCCTGCTGGCAGCAGCGGGAGCGTCGTCGCGCCGAGGAGGGCGTCGTCGTCGTCGTCGGTGGCACCGACGACGATGAAAGCAGGCGCCGTAAGCACGTCGTCCTCGTCCTTCTCGCACTGGCGCTGCCGGTCGCTGTCGTCGTCCCGGGTCATGCCGCACGGCGAGCGCGCGTCCTTCTCTTTCGCCGTGTCGCCGGCGTCCGCGTCGTCCAGCTGCATGAGCACGCCAAACAGGTGGCAGCAGAAGTAGCTGGCGTTCGTTCGATCGGCGCCTCAGCACCAAGCTCCGTGCGTTTTTGTGTGTACGCTCTATTTAAATTTGGTTAGTCTGTCTTCAAAAATGAGATGACGTGCGTCGTGCGTAGTGAGCTTTCCTTTCATATAGATAATATATGTATCGTTTTCATGAACCTATCATCAGGCTATCATCCTTCAAGTTGACTAGGTACTTCTTGCTCATTGCCTCTGTGTGAAAAGAAAATGAACTAGCCGGCCGGTCATATTATGTTTGGATGCATAGGCGGACTAATTGTTAGTCGGTTAGTCCGCTAATTTTTAGTCTACATTAGCTCTAGCCCATCCAAATATAAGGCTAATATATAAGTTAATTTTTCAGTTAACTCTAGCTAGCTAGTTTTTGCTATTTTTTAATCACAACTACTAAGTAAATCCTTCTGCTAAAAAACCCTACTAAGTAAATCATAGCTGATTTAAAGCCGAAATTCACATGAATTGTATAGGAATTTCACATGATTCAATTCATTTTTCACTCGAAAAACATAGGAATGGGAAAATATCCCGCGTTGCAAAGAAGCTGTAACACCCTAAAAATTGCACTCTTTTAAAATAGCTGAATTGATTTATTTATGTAAATATGTGTGCATTAAAATATAGGAAAATAGTAAATTTTGTGGAATTAAAATTTAATATAAGGTTAGAAACTTTTTGATTCATACATGCTGCTGCATATCTAATTTTGTGATGATTGATCTTGATTCAAAGTTCAAATGAATTCAAAACCTATTTGAAAATGCTTTTGGAAATCTGTTTGGAAAAAAAAATGCAAAATTCATTTTTTTCCCTCCCTTCTTCATTTCGGCCCGCAGGCCTTTCCTTCTGCTGGCCCAGCTCCCTCCCGTGGCCCAGCTCGCGCAATGCGCCCTGCCAGCCCAGCTCGCCTCCCGCTTGCGCGCTGCGCGGCCCAGCACCGTCGCCGGCCCAACATCGCAACAACTGTCGCGCCTCCCTCTCCCCGACCGCTGACCGACCGGGCCCGCTTGTCAGCTCCTCCCCCCACCTCCCTCCGCGCGTCTCGCAACCGCCCGCGCGTGCGCCTGGAGCAACCACCGCCCGCGCCCGGTCTTCTCGCGTCGTGGGAGCGCCCCTCCCCGTGCCTGGCCTCTTTAAAATGGAGCCACGCCCGAGCCGCCCCCCTGCTGCCGCTCCCCGCTCTATTTTTCGCTCGCGCTCACGCCTTGGAGGCCGCAACCGCCGCACGGAGGAGCTTCGCCGACCGCCGTCCGCCGACCGCGTCGCCCGTCTTCCCCGAGCCGTCTCCGACCCCGAGTTCCCCGCTGTGAGCCTCCCCATGCTCTCCTCTCTCTCCCCGACCTTCTTCTTTGGCGTTTGGTGGCTTCTAGCGTCGTAGCCGCATGCGCCGAGGATCTCCGGCCGCCGTCCATGGCGACCGCCGCCACGGCAGCACCCTCCGGCCACCTTTTTGGCCTAGCCATGATCCCCTGCTCCTCTGCTTCTTCCCGGTGCCATCGGATACGTTTTCCATGGACCGTGGCCCCCTAACCGTGCTCGCCGGAGTGCTCCACGTCGCCGGCCATGGAGTTTGCCGCCGGCGTCACTGTTCCGGCCGGACCCCTTCCTTCTCTCCTCCCTCTGATCTAATCCGAGCCACCTATCCTTGATCCGACGGCTCTGATTGGCCGATACCCCTTCGCGGGTTATTTTTCTAAAGAGCCCCTCGGTTTTCATCTAATTGAACCCGCAGTCCAATGCGTAGTTCCCCGAATACGCATTCTCATTTTGAAAACATAAAGTTCACTGCTTTAGTCTAAAATACGTTTTCAGTATTTACAGAAATGCCATTTGAACTGTTTTGCTTATAAAATTGTCGTTTTAGCTCCGATTTGATCCGTTCAAATCGCGTTAGCTTCGTAATTTCATAATCTACATGTTAGAATCACTGTTAGTCAAGTTTGGAACTTTTTAATTTCCTGGTTAGATTTAATTAAATATATTGCTATAGGAAATCCCGTTTAAATCATAACTTTCGTATTTTAGCTTCGTTTTTCGTGAACTTCGCGTTGACGTGATCGTAGCGAGACGTAGATTATTTTCATAAACATTTTATCTTATTTTCTATACTGTTGGTGTACTGTTCTAATTATAGGAATGTTTGCTTTGCATGAATGCTTTTGGAATGTTGTATGTTGCCGTGTTGGTCGTGTTCAGACGGTGAGGAAAACGTTGGAGACCAAGAATTCTTCGACGACCAGCAGGACCAGCAAGAGTTTGTGAACCAAGGCAAGTATAGCATGGGCCTACCTTGATGTCCTATTCACTTTAATCATTCACTCATGTGCATGTGTCTAACTTTGATAACCATAAGGACATTCTAGTCATTTGATGACTTGTTCCCTTGACTCCTATGGGTTAATTGAATATGGGTAGATTGCTAGTGCTCTAACTAAACATGATCTATTTGATGGTGAATGGTTCTATGGAACAAAATTTAAAACATGCTTTATAACAACTGATCCATAGGGCGATGGTGCAAATGACTTTTGATCATGTTGCTCTCGGCCCTCCATAAGGACTTATCTGTCGGCAAAAGCTGGGACTGACAGTGCAACCGTGAGGGTCATATGGCTCTGACTTTAGCTCAGTAATAGGACCTTTTCTAGCTTGTTAGAGGTTACCTTTATGGCGCAAAAGGGGCTTGCCACGTTGGATATAGGACTGTCTCTGTTCCTATGTGTATAGCCGCGATGGATATGTGCCATAGGAAAGGGGGTTCCTACATCTGCCTGCCAAGGAAACCTAACGGCCCTAACTTGTTAGAGAAACCTATAAAATGGCTTCATAGTGTACCCTGCCCGCTCACCTTGGCAGTGATATGAGAGTAATTAACCCGGACATATGGGGATCACGACTCACGGTGAATGTGCACCACCTCTGCAGAGGGTAACAAACTGTTATAACAGCCGTGCTCACGGTCACGAGCGGCCCGAAAAACTCACAGAATAATTGGTTACTCATTGTTGTTCATTTATGATGGTTTATGATGATATGATTCAAATAATGCTGATATCTGATTAAGTGGGTTTAAATGGGAGCTTAAGCATAACTTGATGATACTTGATAATAAAATCTTGACTTACTAAAAGTGCTAACTGCAGTAAACCAGTGTCAACCTTTTTGAGCCTCATGAATCCCCATGTTATCTTGTTAAGTACGGAAAGTACTTACGCTTGTTTATTTTCTTTATTTGGATAAAAATCCCGGATGGGTAACAGATGACAACGTGTATGAGGAGTTTCATGAGGATTATTAGGCTTGTGGTCAACCAGTTGACCTTTCCTGTGATGGTGTTCCACGAGAGAGAGTTATCTTTCATTTTCCGCTGTGATGTATAAGACTAAGTTATGTTATTATCGTGATGTAAGATACACTGTGATGATACTCTTTTATAATTTGTCAGCTTGTGTGTGTGATTGATCCCTAGACATACACGAGTTTTGTGCATTCAATTTTATCCTTAAAATTGGGTGTGACAGAAGCCATAAGCATGCCCATAGTTGGTGTAATACCGCTTTCTATTTTTCTTTCGATGGAACTCGACAGTAACTTTCGTGATTTTTTGAAATGTATCATGGGAGCAGCATTCTTCATATATCTTTTGTTTGACCTGGATCTAGATGCACGCACGCACGAAAGGGTGGTTCAATCTATCCATGATTCGATGTGATCTAACACGGACGCCTGCTCCTCTTTCGGTGTCAAACTACGAAGCTAAGGGGGTGTTTGGTAGAGTTTCACATAGCTTCAGATTTTTTTTAAAAAAAAACTCATCTGCTCCCAATTTTTTTAGCCAAACGCTCCAACTCCGCAAACTCCATATCCATAAAAAACTTGGATCTCCGAGATCCACCAAATCCATAGAGCACCCTCGATCAAGGGTTCTCTAAAAACACTAATTTCGTGGAGTTAATGAAAATTACTCACCACTATCACTTGTTACACAGATACTGATTCGGTTTCTTCTTCTTTCTCTCTCACTGCCTTCGGTTTCTCGTCGTGTGCGCTGCTCGCCGTGCTCATCACTCTTGCTTGTAGTCTCGGATGGCACAATAAAATCATCTTTAATAGTGGAAGTAGAACCATTAAAGGGATTTTCGTCGGAATTTCTATAAGTACCAATCATCATAGATTTAATTTTAGAAATAGCAGCTATCGCTATTGGAACTACATTAGTGACATCACGTGTAATCATTGGAAACTCAGTGACACCAGGAATAGACACATTACTATCTGCGGTGGCAAAACTGCCCTGGTTTCTAGCTAAGTGGCCATGGCGCCCAAACTCCCGCTGAAGCATGGACATCCACCTTCTTAATAACATCCTGGTGATCCGCAGCAACAGCTTCTCAATCCCAGTCCATGCAATACCCTGAAAGCATATTTCATTCTAGTTTCCAAGCAGACCAAAGAACAACTAAGGGCAGCTCCAACAATCAACTTTTAAGCTAGCTCTAAGCATTTTTCTCATGTTTTAATAGAAGAGAGAGAAAAGCTAGCTCTTGCATATATTTCTAAGGTTATGTATGAGTATCATGTGGGGCTATCTATATATATTGAAAACTAGAAGGATGCCCCGCGTATTGCTGCGGGACTTTCGTTGATATCAAAAACTACATTTTGATTTTGATACGGTCAAAACTACATTTCGATTTCTATATACAAAGTTAGTAGCTAGTGTAGCCATGAGAAACTTAGACTAATGATAAAGTGCAAAGTGTAGACTTTAGAAACATTTAAAATTTATCAATTACAATTAGTTTTACACCAGGTGAACTTGAAAGGAGGTCGACTGGTAAAACACACAGGAAGAAATAAAAACTTAAAAATTAGGCCCCGTTTGATTGTAGCCGCTAAATTTAGTCCCTCCTGATTTAGTCCTATTTAGTCACTCCAGAGTTGCTAGAGATAACTAAAGCCCTTTTAGTCCCATTTAGTCATAGTGTTTAGATAAAAAATGACTAAATAAGACTAAATTTAGAAGCTCCTGACTGAACCAACCACCCCCTTACATAATGGGGTGATCGGATGAACAGAACGTCTTAGTGCATGCCGCACGCTATAGTAAAAAGAATCAATGGTATGCCACAAAAATAATTATCATCAGTCAAGCTCATATGCAAGGATTCATATATCTAATCTAAACTTTAAAAAGCAGGATATATATAATATAACAAAGCTCATGAGAAAAGAAAAAGACCTCTAAAAGCTGTGATCCTACTGATTCCGAGATTCAATATATCCGCTTCGTGAAGCGGTGAGGAGAGGAGAGGAGATCCTCCAGGGCAGTCGAGGAGATGTACTGGGCTGGTGATTTGGCGTCAGCTCCTCCACGCAGCAAGCCGAGTCCAAGCGCTCAGCGGCGGTGGCAAGGTGAAGGGCGGCGGCAACTGAGGCCAGTTTGTGCATCTGTCTGGCTTCGCTCCTTGCTGCTCTTATATGCACGGACCAGCTCGTGCATCCAACGTGGAAGGATACAGAATGTGGCTTGCTCTCGATCCTAACCGCATGGAGTTGTTGAACCATCATGGAGTGCCCCTGCCCCCCTGCCCCCTGCCCCTGCCCCTGCTGACTGTTTATATAAGATCCATGGGATCGTTCAGTGTGAAGACGGAGGAGACAATCTTATCAGCCGGCTTATCAGCTAGAATCTACAGTATTTTTCTCTCACAACAAAACAGCTTCAACTGGCTTATCAGCCGGTTTATGTATCAGCCGAACAGTTATCTCGAGGGAGTGGGAGAGAAATAGTGCAGTTGTTTGTTTTGTTGCTTGCATTGCCCATGGAATTATGAAGAGGCATGCAAAACGGCAACGCCTGTTCCGCTGCAGGAATAGTGAAGGCGCATGAACATTAAGGCCCCGTTCGTTTTGACCGGGAACGAGCCCTGGAAGAATTCCATGCCCCGCGCGTTGTTGTAAGTTTTTCTTAAAAATAAATCTTTTATGTATAGTATTATGTATACTATGTATATATATGAATTTGACTTGCATATTATTTTATTATATTAGATCTGGTAAAATTCAATAAGCTAATAGAAGAAAAACCAATAGAATATTTGATCACATTATAGAAGATAGGTGATGAAACAAATAGCATATGTAGATGACTTTACGTTAATAGATTAAAGATCAAAAGTATTTCACATAAGAGAGATGATGTGGACATTTTTTTTTAATTAATAAGGGATAACATGAATAGCTTGTATGAAATGATTGCAAGTCAGTGGGACACTTAGTGGAAAATGATAGGGATATCTTGTATGAATAGAGAAATAATCTAGTGGAGTTTAGCTTTATAAGAGTTTAAGATTGAGATTTAAGAACGAGACTGTTATGCACAAAATAATAATTATCATTCTTTGAGACTATATATTTAATCATATAATTTGTACACTTGCTCCAAGCTTTCTCAAGTTTATTTATCGTGCCCGCGATGACATCTCCTTAGACTGTCTCTAACAACCGCGACCCAGAATACAAGGCCCATTCATCCTTTGGGTAGCGCTACAGACAAATGGTTTAATACCTATTTTTTATCTTCTCCATCAACAAGACCTAAAAGACAACCATTTTCTGCAAATGGGTCTCTAGGAGAGCAAATTTAGATTATGCCTCTCCTGACACCTAAAATGAGTCTTCCATATAAATACTCTGTTGAAAACTCTATGTATTATGTTGAAGACCTATTTTAGATTTATGTTTCATAGTAGATCTTCTGTTGGAGACCGGCGAATACCAGTACAAAACTGTCTGTATCAAGATGGGTCACCGATGGCCACTCGTATGATTGGTCTGCGGTTAACACTATGGCTTCTTTGCTCGTGTCAATGCCAAAAGGAATATTTTCAACGGAAAAAAAAATCTAACCGGTGATGGACTTTTACCTACCAAATACAACAACCTTTGCCTAAATTCCTCTAAAAAGAACATTTTGTACATAAATTTAAGCTAACCCGATTCGATTGTTTCCCAGTGCAAGGCTGCTTTAGCTGACGTTGACACCCACCAGCCAATACAAAAATGGCGGGGTGGTGGCAATGAGCACCTCTCGCGACAGCACTCCGGATCTCCACCAGCCCAGCACGCACGAGCTACCACTGCCAGGCCAGAACGCCAATTGGGAATCTCGTCACCGTACCAACCAGACCATCATTCCAGCCGCCAACACCTCCGCCGATCGAACGTGCCGAAGCACGGCGGCCTCTCGTCCGGCGGCGGCGGCGGCGCAGAAGCGATGGGGCAGAAGCGCGCCGTGCTGGTGGGCATCAACTACCCGGGCACGGACGGGGAGCTGAAGGGATGCCTGAACGACGTGGCCCGCATGCGCCGCTGCCTGGTGGACCGCTTCGGGTTCGACGAGGCCGGCATCCGCGTCCTGGCCGACGCCGACCCGTCCACGCCGCCGCCTACGGGGGCCAACATCCGGCTGGAGCTCGAGCGGCTCGTGGCGGGCGCGCGCCCCGGGGACGCGCTCTTCTTCCACTACAGCGGCCACGGACTGCAGCTCCCCGCCGAGACCGGGGAGGACGACGACACCGGGTACGACGAGTGCATCGTGCCATGCGACCTCAACCTGATCAAAGGTGTGCTCTCCTTTCTGTTTCTCTCTGCATTTAGTTGTGAGCTCTCAGTTCTGAACTGACTAACTTAGGATCGAACGGTAGTTGCATTTGGAGGCACACTGTTGGTATCTGATGGTTAGGTTCTAGCCTTTCATTTTCATACAGCATCTCGATTGAGTTTATGAATAAGATGAGCTTAGTAGCGACAGGGTTGCATGGGTCGCAAATCGATCATTTAATAAACGAGTATTCCGTAGATAATTTGTGGCCTCGCTGGACGGTAAGCCTAGGCTTTCTGCTCTAGCGTAACAGAACCTTTTTATTCTGTTCATGAAATACGTGCTATAAAAAAGGATAAGCCCAGGACATGATTCAGCAATTCAATGATAAACCTACGAGATACGCTAGTAGTTTAGTGTGTGGAGCCATAGTAATGTAGAAGGATTTTTTTTTGAGCAACAGTTGTCGTTAATAAAAAAAATATTTTGTTTTGGGCTTTTGGCCCAGTCTTCAAAGGCTCAAAAACAAAGATTTTGACCGGTGTTTTCTCATAAAAGTATACGATTTCCCGGTCCAAAATTAGTATAGCTTGAAAGTATTTTTTTTAAAGATCCGGTAGTCTGGTTTTGTATTAAATAAAAAGGGTTACAAAATTAGACATCTTACAAGCGTGAGAGGCGCTACCTCCCGCGACAGACTGCTGCAGGAGGTTTAGGAGAAAACTATGCTAATTACTCACTAAGGGATGAGCCACAAAAGGGAAAAGTGGACTAAGGGGGTGTTTAGATGCAACAGCCATGTCAAAAGTTTTGGCACCAAATCTTTTGGTGCAAAAGTTTTGGCATTCTAACTTTAGGCTTAAGTGTTTAGATTCATAAGAAAACTTTAGCACCATATGAGCAGAAGACTGATTTGCCCTCATTTAATAGTTAATTTGCTTCATTAATTACTGCATGCACAGCCATGCATGTTCATGACACCACGCCGGTGCCCTTGTGCTAGTCACCGGAGTTGCTCGGTGAGCTGCTCACCCTTGCTGTAGCTCACTTTGATGCCATGCCCGGCATTGTTAAGGAACCATAAAAAATACACTTTATTACACAATTATTGAATATATCAAGTACACAATTCAATGGTCCTCAACTATAAAAAACAAAACACATGTTATATTTCAAGCTCACATTCGAATTGTCATGATCTATTTAACAAATCAAGGGCAATCGAGTCACGGAAAGCATTCATCATCGCAGATTCATCCCTTACCGATGTTTGACTAGTACGTGGCTGAGAGCAGGATGATTCAGGTGGAACATAGTTCTCATCACGGTCACAACGATCAAAATCCCTATCCACTATTCCACTCGTTCTAACGAAGTTATGTAGTGTCATGCATGCAACAATTATTTGGCTTTGCTTATGAGGTGCATAACTTGGTATTTGCAACAAAATCCTCCACTTCATCTTCAAAACTCCAAACGACCTCTCGATGACATTTCTAAGAGATGAATGTGCGTAGTTGAAAATCTCTTTTTTACCTTGTGGCTCCGGACCATCTCGATACTCCAGAAGATGGTACTTGGTTCCCTTGTAGGGCGCAAGGTAACCCGGTCGATTGGAGTAGCTGGAGTCCACCAAGTAAAATTTTCCTACACAATGGCAGCCTCTAGCCAACTGCTTGTTTTCCACAACTGCTTGTTTCCTTCATCTACACCACACTCTCTAGCTAACTGCTGCACATACCTAATCTTTTCTCCTCTGGCAGCCTCTTTCTACTGGGCAAGCTAATAGGTAACCTGCTGCTTGTTTTCCAAATGTCTCTGGAACATCACATTCCTCTCTGCTTGAATCCTGGCATTCTCAAGCATGAACCTATCCGTGCTCCTAATTGCTGGGCTTCTTGGACTTCTTGCTGAGACTAGAGCCAGTGGTGCTTGTGTTGCTTGCTCTCTTATTGCTAGTGATGCTAACTGGGGTCTGCACATCAAGGTCCTCAGGTGGCTCCTCCTCTTCCTCATCCACGGTGACACTTCTTCCAGGAACAAATGAGGTGGAGCCATCAACAGCTACACCATGGAATATTTGGTCTAGTTCATTGATATAACCTAGCCACCCATTCTTGCATCCCTGCAGAGCTTATTTTAGTGAGCAAGGGAAGAGATTTCTAGACATAAACAGGAAACAGGGATATTGGCAATTACCTTAGTGTTGTCTTCCCACCATTTTTCAGTGGCATCAACAGTTCCATCATATCTACGGCCTAAGCAAGTGTCATTGCGCAGTCTTTGTATGAATTGCCAATATCCCTTCAATTGCATAATCCTATTACCAATCTGGGTTCTATCATGAACCAAATTTATTGCAACATAGTACCTTGCTATGACCTCCCTCAAGCCTGATTTGTTCATGACACCATTCACACAATTACCTTTAGTGATTTGGTCAACCCAAATCTCACACAGTTTGCCTGTATTTTTTTCTGACCAATTTCTCCTGTCGACTCTATCCTAAACGATGCATAACAAGAATACGAACACATATTACGAAGACGGTAACAATCAAACTGAAACCAAATTGTGCAGGTTCTGAAAAATTATCGGGATTGCAACGTTCGGAAAGATCTCGTCATCATCAGCACCCAAAGGGTTGTTGACGTCAAAGTTGTCTTCCGCAATAGCTGTACTCGTGGGTCGTCGACGTCCACCGCGGCTCCTAGATCTGGCAGGCGCGCCGGATGCAGATCCAGGCGAAGCGTGCATGCCGACAGTCATAGGAGGCAACGGAGGTCCACGGCCACCACCGGAGGATGACGCCAAGGCGCGAGCAGCCGTGGCACCTCCTCCACCGCCACTGCGAGTCGCGCGTAAGCCGAGAGTACGACTGCCGCTGTGGACGCGAACGGGAGGGGGATCCATGCCGCCGCCGGTGCCTCCACCTTGCGGGCCGGAGCAAAGGAGGTCCTCATAGCCCGCCATTCCGGGCCACCGTTGGCCATGGGAGTTGAGGTCGAGCGCCGCCATGCCCGCCCGGGGAGCATTGATGCTGCTCGAGCCCGAAAAGGGATAAGCCGCGTCGTTGATGTTCTCGTAGCCGCCGGTGGGGGAGAATGGATTAGGTTGGGAGAAGAAGTCCCTAGTGCGGTCGCCATCGCCGTAGCCATCGCTGTTCCTGTTGCCGTCGCCGTAGCCGCCAACGTTGTAGCCGTCCATCAGCGAGGCCGGGGAGGAGGACCTGGTTCAGGGAGGCGGCGTAGGAAGAGCTGGATCTGGGGCGCGAGGAGGAGGAGCTGGATCTGGGGGCCATGGAGGAGGAGCTGGATCTGGTCGTCCGCGGAGGCTCAGAGCGAGAGCGACGGCGGCGGCTGAGACGGTGTGCGAGAATGAGAGCGACGGACGGAGCTAGGGTTTGCGCGGAGGGAGAGAACGAGAGCGGTGGGGAGTGACTGCGGGGAATGGATAGGGTCCGATCGGCAGGGTGGGTGGGTGCAGGGGTAGTGTGCATCCGGCTCTCCCCCCACGCGTTTTTATAATTTTTGGGCCTCCTGGGTCTCAAATGCCAAAACTTTTGAATCCCCACTTTTGTTGTTTTGGGTACATGGTGTTTAGATCTATTTTAGAAAAAGATAGGCTAAAACACAAAAACTTTTAGCAAATTTAGGGAACTAAACATCCCCTGAGTCATTTCCCTCCCGCCAAGATCCAAGTGGAGCTATGTTTTCTACCGCCATGGTGCTCATGGGACCCCCCCCCCGCCCCTGGAAAGTATTTTCAAAATACTGTTTTTCCAGGTGTAAATGTAATCTTTTAGGCTGTACCGTTTGCCATTGCAGCTAGGGCCTTTGAAAGTATTTTCAAAATACTGTTTTTTCCGGATGTAAATGTAATCTTTTAGGCTGTACTGTGCTATCAATTGTGGCAGCATCCCTATAGAAGGTAGGTTTAGTTTTGGTGAGGGCATGTTTAAATTCCAAAAAAATTTGTGCAGTATCCGTCACATCGAATCTTACGGCACATGCATGGAGTACTAAATGTAGACGAAAAAAAAACTAATTGCACAGTTGGATGAGAAATCGCGAGACGAAACTTTTGAACCTAATTAGTCCATAATTAGACACTAATTACCAAATACAAATAAAATGCTACAGTGAGCCGAAATCTAGATCTAAACGGGGCCTGAGTTCAACAAGCTGGCCACGTTAGAATCTGTCAATTCATAACCTGCCTAATTGGCTAATTCTGTAATCCATGATCGTTTCTTCCGACGACCTGATTCTGCCATATGCACCTGTTCTGATAATTGAGCTCGCTCGTCATGGTCGTCGTCCTGATCCCCATGCATACGCTGCCCTGCAGACCAAGATTTCACGGAGCTCGTGGCCAAGGTCCCTGACGGCTGCCGCTTCACCATGGTCTCGGACTCGTGCCACAGCAGCGGCCTGATCGACAAGACCAAGGAGCAGATCGGCAACAGCACCAAGCAGAACAGGACCCAGCAGCGCCGAGAGCGCGAAATGAAGCCTCCTCCCGGTTCCGGCTCCGGGACCGGACTCTGCGACTCCCTCGCGCGAATCGTCCGTGGCGTGCTGGAGTCTCTGGGGGCCGGCATCCACTGCAATCGCCGTGGCCAGCACCAGGGCAGCAGCAGCAGCAGCGTCCAGGAGCCGGCGGACGACACGGAGGCGGCGAAGGGCGGCAGCATCAGCAACCGGTCGCTGCCGCTGTCGACGTTCATCCAGATGCTCAAGGACAAGACCGGGAGGCACGACGTCGGCGTGGGCTCCATCCGCACGACGCTGTTCCACCACTTCGGCGACGAGGCGAGCCCCAAGGTCAAGAGGTTCATGAAGGTCATGGTGGCCAAGCTCCGGCACGACGGCAAGGAGGAAGCGGAGCAGTCGTACGTTCCCACTCCCAGGGAGGCGGAGGCGGCGGAGGCCCTGGCGCAGGAGCAGGACACGCACAGCGTCGAGGAAGTGTACGCGGGGCCGGCGGCGGCGCCGCTGCGCAACGGCGTGCTGATCAGCGGATGCCAGACGGACGAGACCTCGGCGGACGCGACCACGGCCGACGGCATGTCCTACGGCGCGCTGAGCAACGCGATCCAGACCATCCTCGCCGGCAACGGCAGCGGCAAGAAGCGCGGGGCGGCGGCGGTGACCAACCGAGAGCTGGTAGTCAGGGTGCGGGAGCTGCTGTCCAAGCAGGGGTACACGCAGCAGCCCGGGCTCTACTGCAGCGACGAGCACGCCAGGCTGCCCTTCATCTGCTGAGACGAAATAAACGCCTGAGCACCGTGTCGAGTGAATTTCAGGCTTCATCTGTGGATGCTACGTCGTGTGTGTAACAAAATTGAGACTTTTTTTATGAGTTTATATTTCCTCAAAAAAATCGAGACTTTTTTATTGGCCGAAGACGTTGACATTCGAGGTCGCCAGCCTTTAGCCTAGCTCATCGGCCGTGGTACGGTATTTTTTTATATTATGATAAATCAACGAACAATGGTTTTTAATTTAGGTTTTCAGCGAGGCGAACGGGCCGTTGCAGCCGGCCGCGTTCTCGCGCCCGCGGTGAAATCCCTACCGCTATCGTCGGCAGTAAAAAATTCGCAATGAACTGAGATCTATCAATTTCTTTGGCAGAATATGCTTTGGACAAATCCAGTAAGGGGGCGTTTAGATTCCAAAAAATTTTGTACAGTACCTATCACATCGAATCTTGTGGGGAGTATTAAATGTAGATGAAAAAAAAAACTAATTACACAGTTAGGTGAGAAATTACGAGATAAAACTTTTAAATCTAATTAGTCCATAATTAGACACTAATTATCAAATACAAACGAAATGCTACATTGAGCCAAAATCCAAAAAAAAATTTAGATCTAAACGCCCCCTAAGCTCACGCCTCACGGGCACCGCTAGTGATCCCCGAGTTTCCAAAGCGTGGGACTAGGAAGGGACGGCGATCCAAGATCACACAAAGCCAAAGGACGGGGGAAATCGAAGCCACCGAGCCCCCACACGTCGCCATCCATCGCATCGCCGTGATCGATCACCGCCGTCTCCTCCCCCACACACCCACCGGAACCGTCGTCCCGACCTCTCGCCAGCGATAAGCCTTCCCCACCTTTTCATCCACAAGCCCCTCCTCCTCCCGCGCTCCCGAATCACTCCCTCTCGGTCTCTCCGCTCCACCCGCCGCCGCCGTCCGAATCCCAATGGCGTCCGCGGCCGCCCCGCCAACCTCCCTCTCCCTCGCGGCCCGCGCGGCCACCAGGGCGGCCACCGCCGCCCCGCTGCTCAGGGGAAGCCTCGCCGCGGCGTGCCAGCCGGCGCGGTCGCTGGCGTTCGCGGCGGGCGACGCGCGGCTCGCGGTCCACGTCGCGTCGCGGTGCCGCCAGGCGTCCTCCGCGCGCGGCACGCGGGCCATGGCCACCATGGCGAAGAAGAGCGTCGGGGACCTCACGGAGGCCGACCTCGAGGGGAAGCGCGTCTTCGTGCGCGCCGACCTCAACGTGCCGCTCGACGAGAACCAGAACATCACCGACGACACCCGCATCCGGGCCGCCGTCCCCACCATCCAGTACCTCCTCAGCAAGGGCGCCAAGGTCATCCTCTCAAGCCACCTGGTGAGTTCCCGGCCCTCCAGCCTTCCCGTATCTCATGTGATTTGGGGAAGTAATGCTCTTCGCACGCATAGGCAATGTAGAAATTGCTGCAAAGGTAAAAGAGAACCCTTTTAGGAAAAAATAAACTTACAAAAGTAGAAAAACTGATCTTTTAATTCCGCGTCCGTTTGTGACTTCTACTTTAGAAAATGGGAATCTAACTATTGCTCTTGGCATACACTCACAATGTAGGTGCCAAGGACCTGCACAGTGATAGTGTTTAATCAAATTTATGATTTTGTATGTGCACACTGGCTATTAATTGCATACTTACTTCTTGTGTTCAATGATAATTTTATGAAAAATAGCTGAACCAATTTATTTTTCTCAGATAGCTGCTTAATTTTCTTTTCATCCAATTATGGTTAATATCCTCCCTTTTGCTCTGGATGTGCAGGGTCGCCCTAAGGGTTTTACACCCAAGTTTAGCTTAGGTCCCATTGTAGGACGGTTGACTGAGCTTCTTGGCATTCAGGTATTGATTTATTCTACATCATTGGTACTTCTAATTAAATCACATGTGCTAATTGATTGTTCTGACTAAAGCGTATCTATACCCAAAAATAGGTGCAAAAAGCCGATGATGTTATTGGCCCTGAAGTTGAGAAGCTGGTGGCCGCCTTGCCCAATGGTGGGGTTTTGCTCCTTGAGAACGTAAGATTCTACAAGGAAGAGGAGAAAAATGACCCAGAGTTTGCACAGAAGCTTGCCTCCCTAGCAGATCTTTATGTCAATGATGCATTTGGAACAGCCCACAGGGCACATGCATCGACTGAGGGAGTTACTAAGTATTTGAAGCCTTCTGTTGCAGGGTTCCTTTTGCAGAAGGTTATCTTTCTATTTCTATGTTTACATGTTCCATTTTGTAACTCAGGAACTATGAAAGACGGGATCAAAGGAAAAAAATGCTACATAAAACAGAAACTTGTGATTATTTTCTCTTTCCCCTCCTCAATCTCAATCTGATCCTTTTATATTTAACAAAATCAATTTGCAGGAACTTGACTACCTTGTCGGAGCTGTTTCAAGCCCTAAACGCCCATTTGCTGCCATCGTGGGTGGTTCAAAGGTGTCATCCAAGATCGGGGTTATTGAATCCCTGTTGGAAAAGTGTGATATCCTTCTCTTGGGTGGTGGTATGATCTTCACATTTTACAAGGCACAAGGTCTCTCTGTTGGTGCTTCATTGGTTGAGGAAGACAAACTTGATCTTGCAACATCTCTCCTCGCAAAGGCTAAGGAAAAGGGTGTCTCTCTTTTGTTGCCAACCGATGTTGTCATTGCTGATAAGTTTGCCCCTGATGCTAACAGCCAGGTTTGTTGCATCTTCTCCTTTCCTAATCAGCAGATCTTTTGTAGAGAGTTTGAAGCCTCTCTCGGTTCTGCATAGTAAGAAACTTGACCATATAATTTTTCTACAGACTGTTCCAGCATCTGCAATCCCCGATGGTTGGATGGGGCTGGATATTGGCCCAGATGCTGTTACTTCATTCAACGCAGCCCTGGATACATGCCAGACGATCATCTGGAACGGGCCCATGGGTGTTTTCGAATTTGACAAGTTTGCTGTAGGAACTGAGGTAAAGCACTGCTCAAAGATGCTGATGCAGCTTAGCTATCGAACTGAGGACTGAGGAGAGGTTACAATGAAAGAAACCTAACCCTGATATCTCTTCTCTAGGCTGTGGCAAAGAAGTTGGCAGAACTTAGCGCCAAGGGTGTCACAACTATCATTGGAGGTGGAGACTCTGTCGCCGCCGTTGAGAAGGTGGGAGTTGCTGACGTTATGAGCCACATTTCCACGGGAGGTGGTGCCAGCTTGGAATTGTTGGAAGGAAAGGAGCTTCCAGGAGTTGTCGCATTGGATGAAGCCGTCCCTGTGGCTGTATGAAGCAAGCTTTCATTTTGTTTCATCTTCATCTTCACGTGCCATTGTATACTTGCTACATTCTTGCTTGCTCCTCGTCAGCCGCTCTAAATGAAGAGATCAATGTGTTTATAGAGCTACTGGAAATCGTTTGAACAACGAAACAAATAATATGTGCTTACTGAGTCATCTTTCCTCGGTAACGTAACTAGTGATATTTAAAAAACCTTCAAGGTAACCTATATAGCCTATTCAACCATGCATTGGCAACTAGGAGCTTTATCATTTGTGCTGTTGTGCACCAGGACCAGCTTTGCTGAGCAAGGTGTGAATTTTCTTCTTTTCTTTGCCAGAGAAGCAAACTCTAGCGTGATGACCCGTGGAAAGCTAGATGTCACGTACTCACGTTATGGAGGTCTGCTACCGAAAATTTCTGGACCTCTTTGTCATTGTAAAATTTCTGTCTGGTCTCAGACACTAGCTGGAATTTTTTTCGTTTTAGTTCCTCTATTGACTATTTGAGCAATTCTGACGAGCTTTGTTCTAAGATGTCATCAATATCTTCAGAATATGGAAATTCAGAAAAAGAATTCAGCAGAAAACATAGACCGCGGAGTTACCAAACTGATATGGAGTATCTGAAAACATCATTGCTTTTGGGTGGGAAAATTGGTTGCGTAGCATCATTATGTCTTCCAGATAATACCATCAAAAGAGCTCACTCCCGTAAATATATCTAGATAAGGAGCAAAATTGATGTACCAAAAACGATTTATAATTTGGAAATGAGGGGTACTATCGAAAAGGTGCAGCTTTTTTTTTTGCGATTACACAGTACAACGCACACAGGACTGGATGGAAATATGCTGGTCCAGACATGACCTCGTGGCCCAAGGCCTAATTTAGGAGGCTACGGGTTGGGCCAATTCAGCTATAGGCTTTGGCCTCGCTGGCTTAATGAATATCTTGGGTTGGTCCTGCTTGAGATGAGGTGAGTTTATTGAAATATTTCTGATGATTATATATACGCGAGATATGCATATTCATACGAGTTCATCATGCATGGCCCAAACTATTATTACTAACAAACGTGACTGTGTTTTATTATTACTAACAAACATGTCCATACTTTGCAATGATAAAAACGAAACTACTAAGAAAACAGGGACAGGGAATGCTGTCTCTACATTGTAATTCTAATCTTTCGTACGCGTTGGCGAGGAGTTTGTTGCCAACGTGATAGGGATTAATTTGTTCACTGATGATTATGATGAGAGATATGTCTCGAATTTCCACGCCCCACATTAGCAAACATATAACTTGATGACATATTTATTTAGACCAAAATAGATAACAAACTGTTCAAGATCTTAGTTTCCAATTTGGTTAGTTGAATCATCGACTAAACCAAGTTCTGATATAATTGATTTTGTCTCAACTGCAAATCCAACAACTTAGTGGTGTGAACCCTCCTTTTTTTTAAGGAAATGTTAATGGTTCAAAGGCCTATATTGCTATTCTTTTTTACTCTGTTTTTCACATTTATTTTGTACTCTCTGTTTTCAGCTAGAACACATAACTGATTACGCTTAAGAAAAAGCACAGATGAAATAATAAAAAAACAGAAAACAGAAAAAAGAAAAAGAAAAAGACCGGAACTAAAAAGTCTTTTCATGGTTTAATATTAGGATAAAAGAAATAAGATAACATTATCATAGGTATTATACCATAGATATAATAAGATATACATAGAATCGAGGGCAGTTTATTTGGAAAATTTTTCTATGCGACGGTGAAAGGGCCGAGATGGCGGACTAGAGGGGGGGGTTGAATAGTCATTTCTAAAATTAATCGCGTCGGCTAACCGATATAAATGCGGAATAAAAACAATCGGTCTAGCCAAGACTACACCCCTCCATATATGTTCACTAGCACATTGCAAAGATACTAATTATGCAACTAAGGTGCCGGGCTAGCTAGAGCTCTCCTAAACAATTCTAGGAGCAAGGTCACACAAACCTATGCCACTAGTACTTTAAGCAACAAGGAAGCTCCTACACATGCTAGTAAGCAAAAGCACAAAGCCAACTAAGCTCACTAGCAAAGCTCAATAACAAGGCAACCAATGCCTAATTAGAGAGCGCAAATACTTAGCTACACAAACTAAGCAATGTGACTAACAAGGTTACTAAAACCAAATTAGCCACGCAAGGGAGCTACTTCTATGCTACACAAGCAAGAAGATAATTAGCAAGCTACACAAGCTATCTAATTATAAGAGCAACTACACAAGCTTAATATGTATAAAAGTAATTGTAAGCTTGTGTAATGGGGATACAAACCAACGGGAAGAACAAGGTTGACACGATGATTTTTCTCCCGAGATTCACGTGTTTGCCAACACGTTAGTCCCCGTTATGTCGACCGCTCACTTGGTGGTTCGGCGGCTAATTAGCATCACCCGCTAAGCCCGCACGTCGGGCGTCGCAAGAACCTACCCCTTGAGTGAGGGTAGCTCAATGACACGCTTTACTAGAGTTGCTCTTCGTGGCTCCCGTGGGGCGAGCACAATGCCCCTCACAAGCACTTCTCCGGAGCGCCGCACAAGCTTCTTGCGCGCTTCGACGGAGACCACCACCAAGCCGTCTAGGAGGTGGCAACCTCCAAGAGTAACAAGCACCACCGGCTCGTAACTCGATCACCTAGTGCCACTCGATGCAACCTCACGATGCAATCGCACTAGAATCGCTCACTCACACAATCGAATGATCGCTATCAAGTATGTGTGTGATGGAGGGCTCCCAAGCACTCACAAGCATGGACACTAAGTCCCTTGAGGTGCTCCGCTCCAGCCATGGCCGAGGGCCATTTCTATTTATAGCCCGAAAGGCTAAACTAGCCGTTACCCCTTCACTGGGCAACGGTCGGGCCGACCGGACGCTCCGGTCGTGTTGACCGGACGCTGGACATCAGCGTCCGGTCGCCCGCAGACGGCCACGTGTCCCGGTTCCAACGGTCACTTGACTTGACCGGACACAGCAGCTTTCAACTGATCGGACGCTGAACCCCCAGCGTCCGGTCGTTTCCAGTAAGGTACCGACCTCGACCGGACGCGTCCGGTCACACTTGATCGGACGCAGCCAGCGTCCGGTCACACTCCAGCTTCTGCGTCATTGTACGTCAGCCTGACAGCGTCCGGTGCATTCACATCCAGCGTCCGGTCAGTTGACCGACGCCAGCATCTTCGCGACTAACTCGTTTTCACTTCTAACTTCATCACCCTTGCTCCAATGTGCTAACCACAAGAACTTGCATCCGGCGCAATAGAAAATAGGCATTCTATTTTCCCGAAAGCGCCGAAGTGTACACCATCTCACCCCTACAAACACCATCTCCTTTGTAAATGTGCCAACACCACCAAGTGTACACCACCATGTGTATGTGTGTTAGCATTTTCACAATCATTTCCCAAAGGATGTTAGCCACTCAACTTGCCACGCCACTCGATCCTAGCGACAATGCAAAGTTAGATCACTCGAGTGACATTAGATGACCGATATGCAAATAAGTTTGCCCCTCTTGATAGTATGGCCATCTATCCTAAACCCGGTCATAAACTTCTCTACACACCTATGACCGGTGAAATGAAATGCTCTAGGTTATACCTTTGCCTTGCGCATTTCATTCCATCTCCTTCAATGTCGATGCAACACATGCACCAACACGATCAACAATGATATGATCCACTTTATATCCTCACATGATCATATTGGTTCATCGATCTTGACTCTACTTGCTCTTCACCGTTGCTATCGTCCATCGGCGCCAAGTCTTGCTCAAGCTTCACCGCCACGCGTTCCATCACTCCAAAGCCTTTGACTTGCCCTTCATGCTTGCAACCGGTCCATCAAGCCAAGTCTTGTCTTGATCTTCTCCACCTTGATCACATGACTCAATGTCATGTCTCATGTGCAATAAGCTTCTTCATCATCACATGTGTGAGCTTTGCAACATCTCCAAGCCATTTTCACTTTCATGGCATATGTTGCTCATACACATGTACCTGTGGACTAATCACCTGTGTATCTCACATAAACACAATTAGTCCACCTAGATTGTCACTCAATTACCAAAACCAACAAGGACCTTTCAGACGGTGCCGCACAACGCTTATGTGCGACATCCTATAGATGATTGACGCGTGTTCCTGTAGCCCATACATCGTTCTGTCATTCTACGTGAAAATAATTAATTGATAAAAAATATATGAAAAATATTCTAGCAAGTAAAGCCTCTTTGGCACGACTCATTCAAAACAGCTTCACCGGTGAAGCAAAAGCCGGTGAAGCTAGAAAAACTAGTTTTTTTTGGCTTCTAGTTCATTTTAACCCTGACTTACAAAACAACTTCACGCTACAGTGTCTCAATTTACACAAAATTGATGAAACCGAACCCGACGTAAGCCCTTCCGACTTCTTTTCAATAAAAAAACTGCTTTAATCTACTCCTCCCGGTAGAGCTTCTCCGGAGAGAGACGGAGAGGAGCCCTATTTGGGGCCTCAATTTGATAATGGTATTACAGCCAAATCCGTTTGCGGGATGACATTTACAACCAAGTGCTGAAGTCCAATTTTCTCTAGCAAAAACGAATTAATCAGCCGAAGCCTCGTTCGGTTGTTCCTCAGCCTCGTCTGTTCGCGACCTCGCACGCCAGGCCATTCGGCGGCAGCGATCTCCGTCAGTGCACGAGCTTTGCCGCCGGTGAGCGACTTGCTGCTTCCGCGGCATCAGCGCCGGTGAGAACCACTCGCTTGCGTCTCCCTCCCTCTACACCCTTCCTTTCCTCCCAAACATTTTTCTCCAAGCCCTAGCCATAGCTTTCCTTCCGGATATGAAGGGGTTTGTGCTGGACGGCAATCTCTGCCAGACACTCCTGGGGACCAGAAGATCCACACCAGTTAGCCTTCGGAGCCTGGGAGGAGGAGGGGTAGTGGATCTGCAGGTAGCTTTGTTCGTCTTTCTACTCCCAATACTGTAACTAGGGATGTATAAGTTTTCTTTTCCTTAGATCATTAGTTCGATCTGAAACCAATCAAAATAAACTAATCCAGATTTGAAAACAAGAAATTGGTATGAAATGAACTAATAAGGGAGTGACAAGAAATATCCACTTTGTATTCGTCCCCACTTTGACGTTGCATCCCTATTCCCTATCTGTAACCCATAGAGCTGAATTCCATTTCCATTCACCTTGCCTTTTGCAGCTCTCAACCAAAGAGCACCTTAGGCCTTAGCTGCACATTGTCACGCAGCCAATTTTAAGCCTCATAAATGCCAGCTTAGTAAAATCAAATGAATGTCACTTCTCACTGATACAGAAATATAATGTTGGTAGCAAGTAGTGCCAGTACATATTTAAAAGTAACAAAATGGTAAGAATAAAAATGGTATCGGTCCGCTGCCTAGGGATCCTATCTGAAACTAGCACCATGAACCGCAGCAGCTGGCAAGAAAGCAGGGGTCGACGAATGGATTGGAGCATGTTCTCTCTATTTGAATGAAACCTATGGCTTGAACAGATTCAGCAGTGGCTTGGCTTCTTGTTCCTCTTGTTTGCTTCCATCCTGTAACTCTTGTGCCTGTTCAGTTTTCAGCAAATGGAAGGCAGTCAGCACAACATATTTGAATTTTGAAGCGCAAATTTGCATATTGTTATCAGGAGAAATGGAGAAGACTCAACAAGAAGAGCAAGCTAGGTTCATCAGATCGAAAAACCCTTTCATGAATGTTGACCAATGCAATTTTATAACAAACCTGTCTTGAAGAGCTTGGTGAGCCATTGTCCAGCTTGAAACCAGGAGGACACCATGGGCAGAACGCAGATGCTTTGCAGTCTCCGATGCCCATCACGTCAGGCCCACGAATGGATGTGGTAGAAGAGGTTGCGGCAGCGGTGTTCATCACGCCAACGGCCAGAGGAATTGCATTATTACCATAAGTCAGCGGATCGCCATCCTCTGGCTCCATTTTGATGGGCAGATCATGGAGAGCAACCATAGCCCTGGCTGGGCCTGAATGTGAGGATGCCAAGCCACCTATGGTGTTCACCATGGCGTCCTGCGTTGCCAGCGTTGACCGGTGTCTCTCTCCAGCTGTTGCTGGCATATAACATGCAGCTAGGTGAGGTGCTGGAGCTCTCATGATGCCATTCAACCCCATCCCACCTCTTTTAGGCTGGGTGAAGGCTGACGCTCGGAAAGCTCGAGGTGCAATAGATGTGGAGCTTCCCTTGAAGTTCAGGCCATAGTCATTGGTGCTTGCCACGACTGGTATTATTGGTCGGCTGTCTCTAGCCAGTGATGCCATGGCAGATGTGAGAGGCTGAGGGGCAGGAGCTCTCTGGATGCCATGTGAGGACAGACCACCGTTGTTCCACCCGAATGGCAACGTTGTAGGACGAGCAGGAATGCCACTGGAGCTTGTGCCTTCATCCGAAGAGTTCGCAATGGCCGTCAACATCTGTTGTTTATCTCTGGTTGATGCGATGGGGAATAGTGGAAGGCATGGTGTTGGGGCTCTTGGAACTGGCATACTGCTAAAGCTGGTTTCAAAAATCAGCCCCACACTATGAGCCAGGACAGACGGGGTGATCTGGGAGTGCATCCAAGTGATGTTGCTCTCCTTCAAATTTGATTCATCATGAGAAACAGGAGGCGCCAAGCTTAGCCAGGATGCAGCATCTTTAAGCTCCTTTCCTTTCAGGTTTTTCCTGGAAACAGTGAAATGTCAGTTGTCTTCTCATGTACTCTGATATGCTAGCGTTCAGAGCGCCATGCTCGTTCTGCTGAATGTGAGGCCAGAGCATATGGCAATTGATTATTTGGGAGTAGTAAGTATAGCTACCAGAATTCTGTTGTTATATTTTTTAGGATCTTCAGCAGCGCTTTAAGCTCCGACGACCACTGAAAATCCTGCTTGTTCCTTGCCGCTTCAGGTAATTGGTCTGCAGAACTCCCACAATGCTCCGGTCTTTGTTTGAGAATCTATAGGGTGGAATGAAGGGCTGGAATATTTCGGAATTGAATCTGTATCAGTAATAGGATCATGTCACAGAAGCAACTTTTTGCATAGATTTTCTGATTGTTTTGGCTTTTAAAAAGCAAAAGAAGAAATTTAAAACTCACCAGGATAAGGCGCTGTTTATAGTAGAAACAGAATCGATCTGCATCTGCTACGCCATCTAAGAATCCTAGCACCTGAGTTGAGTGAAATAGACAACGATGAAATGAGAATTTAGAAGCCAGGAATTGCTAGAAATATAAGCACCGATGCTAAATGGACAAAGACATCTAGCGCTGACTTCAATTCCTCTTCTGTTATTTAACATGGAAAGACGCCCAAATGCACAAGCATGACATGAGTGCATGACAAAGCACACCTAAGAGTGCATATTTCATTGACTCTACCACCATATTTTAGCAAATATTGATTGAACTTGTTATGTGTTTTCAGTTTTATCATCTATGATAGAATCAACACAATCTTTTTCACTTTGAAAATCTGCAACAACGGTTCTCTCTAGAATGACTATAGACCACCTCGCTTGACATAGGTTTGTATACTTTTAGTGCTATGAACATGGTTAGACATTTGAGGAAATCAATTTGAAGAAAATGTGGCATACCACTTCATCGTCCCTTTCTGCCATGCTGCGCCTGTATTTAATGCATTGACTCTGCTTGAGCTCAGTCACAAGGTTACGACGCTTAACCTCTTCACCCCGAAGAATGATTCTGAAGTGCTTCGGTAGGCCCAGATACAAGATGGAAGCATAGGCCTGCAGAAAATGGCATTTTAGGAACACATAAACAGACTATTTGAGGAAAAGAATTCATGTAAGTTAAAGAAGTGTCTGCAGAAATGATTGTGTATGTAACACTTGCCCTGAGAGATCTCCTGTATTGATATACCAAATTACTTTGATCCCCTGCAGCTTCATTTTCTAGATGCATTGTTGGTGGTACACTAATTCTAATATCCTGCAATAAGCAAGGAGGAATTGTTGAACTATTCGATAACGAGGAGTGTGTACAGGTAGGAATTTATGAACAAAATGGGCATCCATGTGGAAAAAAAGAGAAGAATTGTAATTCATGATATGAACTCCATGATAACAGTAGACATGTCACATTAGTGGAATCCTTTTTTAGATGTCATAACATCAAAATACAATACCATTAAGCTAGTATTGATACTCTATCTAATCGGTATGTATTTGTTACCTTCGTGTCAGTGTCGAAGTCCAGATCCAAGTCGCCTTTAGTGCTGCGTAACAGGTTGAACACAATGATTTTTGTTCCATGTGGACCGATGTCGTTAAACTGTTTAGCAGCAGATACATCAACAAACAATTCTCCGGGTCAATTATTTCATTAGCACATGGTTTCAAACAAAATCCAGTAATGTAATTATGGTTAGAAACGAGAACATGCATTGCATGTAGCAATGTAACTATGGTTGAACCACAAGACTGAATAATCATCTCAAAACACACATTTTGTAGCAGCTCTTCCTCTGAATTGTAGGGCGACAATTTCAGCAGCATTGACATATTGATAGAGAACTGCCCTGGCTCGCGTTCATATCTTGTGGTTTCACCTGTCACCGGATCGTATTCGTAATGCACCTAAAGCAAGAAAAAAACATCATGGAACATGTTAGAATTTTGGTCCTCAGACATCATGGTCAGTGCCAAATGAGCATTATGTGCCACACACACATACCATGGGTATTTCGATTTGATTTGCCAAATGAGCATTATGTGTCACACACATACCAATGGATTGAGTAGGGGTACTGGAACCAAACAAGAACACAATGTCATAAATCAAAGAAAAAAGTGACACAGAATGTAATTACTTATGTGTCCCAAACACAAAATTGCACAGAAAATGTTATACATGTAAGGTCCCAAGATCAGGAACTTCTCCCGGTTCCTATACAAACTGAGTTATTTATGTGAAAATTCTGAATCCTTAGTAGGATCTTGGGAAATTCTGACCTGGTATGCACGTGACGGCTGAAAACAATAGTACTCGCACCAAGGTAGCTTATGCCAGCCCTGAATCCTTTCCCATCTGATCAGAAATTTCAAAAAATGTTAGATATAACACTAAACATGGCAAGGATGTGAAGTCGAGGATTGGTAAAGACATGAGTACATACTCTGCCCAATTGAATCAGGCGTCTTCCTATTTGGACTTGCAGCAGTCATGCATTTCCTTAGAGAAATAGGATCCATGCCTCCGCCATCGTCTTTATGCACAAACAAATATATGCGAATGAATTCAAACAACCTTACTCATTTGTCATGGCAAGCATACTTGGTGGATGATGCTGATTTCCTAAGAAACAAGGATTGAAATGGTATCTAGGAGGAGAACCTTGCACGAGCAATGATGGATATCCATCGCGCGGATTGGTGAAACTATCGATCAACACTTTGGTAGCACCATGTGGTATCTGTTTCAAGAAGAGGAAATTCAGCAACAAACTAGAATATGTATGACACAATATGATGAACTTGTCAAGATGTGCAACTGTTCTGTGCTCCATCAAGGCTACAAAATCGACAAGAAATGATGTTCACCTCATCTACAGCATTGTCCAGAAGCTCTGCTACAGCTGAGAGAGTGACAGAGAAAGCATATGAGAACAGAATACACATAGGAACAATCATATAGTATGACTATGAATACACAATGATTAATATGCATACCACCAAATGTCCACTGATGTGAAGTTTCATTTTCGTCCTGAAACTTGGGGCGCGAACAGTCTCCCGGTAGATATGGTCTAATCACAAGTTAGTTTGACAAGAACTATAGTAAGACAACAATACTTAATGGTGATGTAGATCTGTATATGTATGTACAATACACATATGATGCAACGTTGTAGTTCAGATCAATGCAATGTACTACCTTGAGCTTGTCTCGAAGGACACTGTATTTGATTTCTACTACCAGGTCCTAACACTTGGCTGCTGAGCCTTGCAGTTGATCCTGCCGACTGAGAAGTTGATCCGTCTGTTGCTAGGGCACTCGGTTTGCTTGTTAGTGTTGAGTAAGCAGGGTTGAGGACACGACAGTCTTGGGCATCTCGTTCGCGCTTTCCTAGATGATTGCTAGATTGACAGGTGTCTGTTTGTGATCTATGTTGACGAGAGTATACTTTTGTCCTCTCCAAGTCCATGCTTCTGAACTCCTATCCACGGACATCCATACCACAAAAGCTTAGCCAAATGACACATATGACACAGGCAAAAGTGTATCAGACATTTAAACCACAATGCTCATGCCCACATTGTTAAAAAAGTGTATTGGGCAGTAGAATTTAATAAAAGGAATAACATTGCAATGCCTCATAAAATGCAAGAGAAATGAAATGTTGTTGGAAACATGAAGATTTTGCAAGGAATGCTCTTTTTAGTTAGTTTTTGCTGCAAGTAAATGATTGACAGTGAGTGATCTTTTGCTTATATATCTTTTATAAAAGAATAATAGGACATTTGAAATTACAAAAGGGGTTTAGCTTGTAATTTACAGATTAACGAAAGCATGTTGTCAAAAAAGCATATCACAGCCGTGTGAAATGTACTCAGACAATTCCAAATTTACGATAATCTAAAATATGTAACATTCACTTGTGCAACATTGTTGCGGAGATGAAAGTACCCTCTTGAGCAAGTAGCAAGGATACTCGCTTTGCCTGTCATCACTGGCTCCTAAGGATTCGTTGCCGATCCTTGATATTGAACTAGTGACACTGCAACTACTCCCAAGCTCTTGATCTTGGAGGGCGCGGGGCACTCATTTTGGCTTGTAGTAGTATGGCGGTGTGAGAGGGTTGCCTCCCACTTGCCACCTGTGTGTTGTACACATGCACAACAGAGTTCCCTTGGTGACAATTGGTATGGTTTAACGCACAATGGGTCAATTCTCTACCATCTCGTGTCCATATCCATATGGGAATACTAGGTAGAGGCTAAAAATGATTAATAGAAGATAAATAAACGTGATCCGGATACTAGGCATTAAGACATATAGTAACTACAAAAGAATAATTAAAATTTGATAGAATGGAATGGAGATTCCATGAGCTAAATAGAACTTCTCAGTGTGCTATATAATACTCCTGCTATTTAGTTAAGCAAAAGGGGGGCTTGGCTATGCCATGAGACATCATGCTTTTGTCGAGGGCGTGCCACTCGCCTCCACCTTCCTGATATATATATATATATATATATATATATATATATATATATATATATATATATATATATATATATATATATATATCCTATTTCCTTCTGATGCCACCTCCTCTTTCTTATGTGCCCCCTGTAGCATCGTCCTAATCCTCGTTCCCACTAGTGTCGACATGTCATGTTTGGTTGTGTGGTTGGCAGCCGCTCTAATGCATTTCCTTCCAATTTAGGTGGTGACCAGAACCTTACCTAACCACCAACCATCGCTTCCCTAAAATCCGTCTTGATGCCCAAAACCTAATTGTCATCCCCAAATCATAAACCCCGCCTAATACAATCCTAATCTAACGTTTAATCATTCAACTTTTTGAAGCATGCTTTTCAAGAGGCATATTTTTTTGGTAAACAATCACATACCGTGTTCTTTGTGAACGGGCTTGCTCTTGGTAAGGTGTATCTCCTTGGAGCCACTGGTGAGGTTGAATCAATGTCGTCGTCGGTTGAACCACTTACCAAGCGCCTCCCTTTCTCGTTACACTAGAGGTGGCGGCCTTGGTGCAAGATGTGGCAGCAAGAGAGGTGTATAAGTAGTGGCAATGGAGATGCAGGGACTAGATGAAGAGGTAACAATGCTTTGTTGCAAGGAGCATGATGCAATGGTGTGTGCAATGGCAAGAGGAAACACGAATATTGTGGCGGCGCAATTAGGTTTCAAAGATAGGTAAGAGCTATGATGGGGGTGACGACGCAATTAGGTTGTGAATAGATATGTGAGGGTGGCGTTATTTATAAGGAGGAAGGGTCATGTGTAAGCATTAGATCTATATCCAAGGGCTGAAAAGTTACAAATCGTGGCTCCAAAATTAGAAATTTTGAGTATAAAACAAAGCCGCCATATTCCTTATTTGGTTGGCCAAGTGTGAAAAGGCATTCGAACGTTGATACTACATCGGAGTATGGGCAAGACCGGCTGAAGCCCATGTAGGAGTAGGGGCAGGGCCGACTGAAGCCCATGCAACCTGATAAAAAGCGGTATGTTGCACGTGCAGTGTTGCTGACTAATAGGATTGGATCCTCCCTCTGACCACCCGCACGTAGGCTCATTTTCTATATGTAGGCGGCTCAATAAGCTAATTTTCTATATGTTAGGCCCACATAAACTGATGAATGGATCTAGATGGCTAGAGGGACAGGGGGTGAATAGCCTATAAAAAATTCTCTATAAAAGCACAAACACTAGAGCAAATTAGTTAGTATAATTAGCAAGCCTAATAGCCACTACTTTGCCTAGCTCTATCTCACCCAAATACAAGCCTCCTAAACAATTCTGGTTGTGAGGTGATCTACCACTATAACACACAAACACACACTAGAGGCAAGCAACTACTCTAGTTGTCCTGAACAAGTAAAGCAACTAACTAGCTACTCTACTTACTAACACTACAACTACGACTAGAGAGCTACACTAACCAGCAACCAACAACTACACAAGCTAGTAAAAACAAGAATGTAAAAGGCTCAAGTGTAGAATTGCAAACCAAATCGGGCAAGTGACAATAAGATTTATCCTTGAGGCTTGGTTGTTGTCGACAACTTATGTCCTTGTTGAGGCGAGTCTCAATGTGATGATTCGTGCACTAACAAGCTACTCAAGCTTGACCTTCAACTTGGCTGTCGTATGAATTAATCAACACGTAGCACTCCAACTAGCCTCGAGCATTCCACTAGAGTTGCTCTTCTCGATCTCCCGTGAGGTGAACATAAGAGACCCATACAGTCAGCCGATCAGAGGTGGCCAACAACCAACAACTGAGCTATCTAGGTGGCGGCAACCACCAAAAGTAATAAAAAACCCCAAGGCTCAAACGATAAACTAGTGCCACTAGATGCAAATCAACTAAGCAATGCACTTGATCTCTCACAATCTCACTTTGGATCAACCAACAAGCAAGGAGATGAGTGGGAGGTGTTCTTGAGAGCTCACAAGGATGTTGGTTCAACTAGAATACCAAGAGAGATCCCAAAGGGCTGGCCAATATCTATTTATAAATACCCTACAAAAACTTACCATTGGAAAGCTTGGACAACACCATTTTTGAGGTCACTGAAAAAGTCCAACGATCACCAGAAATGCACCAGCAGAGAAAGGATCATGAAGATCCAATGGTCCAAATTTAACCTACAATTTTCCTCTCTGGTGCATTCTACAGTGCACCCTCTGGCGCCAACATCGTAGATTTCTGCCGTCGCAGGATTTAAGTCAAACTAGTCGTTATACTCTAACAACTAACTGCTTTTTTATCTAGTGCCTCTCTAGTAATGAAAGCCCTAGTTTGGTTTTGGCTAATTGATGAAACCTATTGGACTAACCCTTTACTAAGTGTATGGATGAGTTAGGGTGGTCCAAGCCCAAGTGGTGGAGCAAGATGGCATCCATGGTGATGGAGGTGGCCAAAAGATGTTGTTCACGTGCTCCAACTTGAAAAGAAGAAAGAGAAAAACAAAATCCCATGGAGATCAAGGCAAATGTATCAAATAGGGATTTTGTTTCACCAATCAAGATGCAATAGAGTGCGTGATTGCATTTTAGGATAGATGGCCATGCTATTAAGAGGGGAGCTCTACTAGTCAATTCGGTCATCTAGTGCCACTAGGTGTTGGAATTCATGCATTGCATTTAGGCCTAGCGTGCATCAGAGAGCAAGCGAAAATATTTATGAAAAATATTTTTGGAAATGCTAACTTGGCTCTAATATGTTTGTGAAAACATCTTGAGAGTTAGCATCGCTTGCGGAGAGGTGTTTGGGTTGTCCGTGGGTTAGAAAACAACCAAACTTGCAGCCACAACTCAGGGGTCACCACCCTATCCGTGTACACACTGCCAAGTGCGTGCGGTGCACCGCCCTAAAATTCCAAAAACTAGGTGTTTCGGGACTTAGCGAAATTGGGCACCGCCACCCCTTGTTCAGTGGCACCGCCCTAATTATCGACCCAGAGAGGGACGAAAATGGGCTCGGTCACCGTCGGAGGCACCGCCGTTCCTAGGCGGTGGCATCGCCACCCTAGGGCGGTGCAACACCCCCTGTGTCCGGTACCAAATCAACCGACCGTTGGGGCACCGCCACCCCTGTCTAGTGCTGGCACCGCCCTTTCCGGTGCCCACGTAGAAATCAGCTCCAAAGGTCCAACGACTCTATTTATTTGTGTGGCTATAAATAGAGATGGTGGTCGGCCTTGGCCACTCTCTTGACTCTTCCTACACTTGTGCTAACCCTTTGAGAGCTGAAGAAACACAATCCACTCACTTGCACACTTGATTTCATCATTTGAGTGAGATTGGTGAGCCTCTAGTGCATTGCATTGAGTTGTTGCATCTTGTGGCACTAGTTGAGCGTATTGGGCCGATTGTTCTCTTGTTACTCTTGGTATTTGCTGACACCTAGACAACCTAGAGATTGGAGGATCGTCGAGTGGAAGTGGTGATTGTTTTTGGCTCCGATTGGTTGATTGTGAGGGGTGTTGTGCCTTCCCCGATAGAGCGCCAAAGGCAACTCTAGTGGAATACTCGTGTCGTTGACTACCCTCATTTGTGTAGGTTCTTACGGCATCCTTGTGTAGGGCTAGGCTTGTGTATGCCTATTAGCTCGTGAACCACCAAGTGATCGGTCGACACAACGGGGGCTAGCTTGTCGACAAGCAAGTAAATCTTAGGAGAAAAATCGTGTGTCAATTGGTTCATTGTCTCCCTTGGTATTCATTGTGGTTGATACATCTCTTGGCGGGCTTGGTATATATTTCTATCGCTTATATTTACATTTTGATATACTTGTGTAGTGATAGAATTAGCTAGTCTTGCTAGTTGAGTAGAGTAGCATTTAGTTGAGTAACTAGAAGTAATTAGTTATTTTTTCTTTGAACTAGCTATCTCACTAGACTAGAAGTAGTGACATAGATCATTGATTGGCATAGAGGCCATAATTTCTTA